ACTCAGCGGGCCTGCGTAGTTCATGTGAAGCTGATTCCATGCTTTGTCTTCCACTTTCCACGAATACAGCAAAGTCTTCACTGGCTTTTTGGCTGCCTCCTGAGATTCCCTACAGCGGCGCACTAAGTCGTCAATGTCTCTGTTGATGCCCATCCAGTGTGCGAATCCTCTCGCAAACATCTTCATCCTTGTCATTCCAGGGTGTCCCTCGTGTAACTGCTTCAAAACCTCTTGGCGCAGCAAAACTGGTATGACTACTCTACGGCCAAAATATAAACATCCGTTTCGCACTGATAAACTCTCGCCCAGTGCACTCCAGTCTCCTGATTTTCCTTTCCACTTGGACGGCCATGCTCCTGACTGTAGCATTTGCAGAACCTGGGCAATAGCTTCATCCCTACGAAATTCTTCTTCAGTCTTCCTCCGGGTTACTGGTAACGCTCGTACAGCAGCAGCTTGAACAGCCGCACTTCTTCTTCTATCTTCGCTATGACAAGGTCTTTGGTTTGGAATAGTCTTGGAGAGATCAGTTGAGACAGTGCATCAGCTTGTCCGAATTCAGGTACGCGAGTAAAATGAGCTTCCATCGTTGCAGCCTGTTCGCTGTGCACACAGGCACCATCTTCTTGTCAAAAATGTGTAGCAGCGGCTTGTGATCGGTGAGCAATTTGAACCGTCGTCCGTATTATACCGTACTATAACTAACTATAACTTACGAACTGCAAACACCAGTACTAGTCCTTCCTTTTAAATTTGTCCGTAGTTCCATTCTGTTGCTGTGAGGCTTCTGCTTGCATGGGAATAGCCTTCTCTGTACCATCCGGCATCCTGTGTAAGATCAAAGCCCCAATTCCGTAATCCGATGCGTCGGTAGCTACCTCTATCTGCCAAGCCTAAAACCTCCTTGGCACGCTCGAATGCATTTTGACATTCCTCTGTCCATTCGAACTTCGCGTCCTCTTTGAGCTATGCATCCAAGGGTGAACGAAGTTGCTACGAACAATTCATAGCAGTCGATCATGCCGAAGAATGATGTATATCCGCTATATTCTTCGGAGCTAGCATTTGTTGAATGACCTCGATCTAAGCCCGCTTATCATGGAATCCCACAATCTGCTGGAATATACCTGGCAGATTTTACTCCAAAAGGTAGGCGGCTGCAGCGATACAATTCCTTGTGCGTATTGATAGTTAACATCTCTTTCGATGCTTCCTCAACTTCCACCTGTAAATAACTCGGCCAATTTGAGTTGAGTGAAGAGTTGGCCTCCGTTAAGTTTTGTGAACACGTCCTCCGCTGTGGGCAATGGGTGCTGATCAGTGGCGTACCCAGGATTTCGGCTCGGGGGGGGGGGCGCGACAAAAATTTTTTATCTAATGAAGGTGCGTGGCGTCAGCCACGCACTCCGAAAAATTTTTTAGGATGTTTCCTAGAATTTTTCCGGGCCCCTGACCCCAAAATTTCAGAAAAAGGGGGCGTGGCGGCAGCCACGCCCCCGGAAAAAATTTTTTTACAAGACTAATTTGAATTTTTAAAATTTTTTAAAAATTATTTTAATTACTTACAAGTAAAAATAAGTCCTCTGCACATTTTTATAACACATTTAAGTAACTTTCAAAAATTTCGCGACCCATTCTCGGGGGGGGGGGCGCCCCCCCCCCCCTCGGTACGCCACTGGTGCTGATGCAACTGCAATGAATCATTGAGTCCTGCAAGGAAGTCGGCGCATAGACGGATCATGCCATTGTTCTTCTTGACGGCAACTATCGGCGCGACCCACTCAGTATTCGACAGCAGAAATAACGCCTTCGGCTACCAGCCCATCAGCTTGCCTCCAGTTCAGGTGCTGTGGCGTATGGAGCTGGTCTATTCTTCTTGAAGATGTGGAAGCATCTTTCTTCAGAACTAACCTAGGCTTGCTCTTCCTACATTTCGCTAGTTCGGCTCCTAAAGACATCTGGATACTTCTTCAAGTCGGCAACAACTTCGGCCCGAATTTCTTCTTCGCTAGTCACATTCCTGCAGTTGTACTTGGTCTTCAATTTCTTGTAGGCTGGCAACTGGATGCACCATTCCAATCCCAGGAGATTCGAGCCTTCGGTGCATAGCAAGTTTCTTTCATCGGCCATCCGTCCTGTAACATCTTTGACCTTGGAATCAGGTGAAAATTTACAATCGATCTGCATTAGCGTCCCGTATGCAGTTTTACAGGCATCACACAGAACTCTAAAGCTGGAGATCCCATCATCCTGCAGGTTTTACGAGATATCAGCGATGTACCTGCACCCGTGTCCAATCTGGAGCTTAAGAGGACATCCTCTGACAGCAACGTCAAGGAAGGTGCGGACTTCTCGGCGTCGAATGCAATCACGTTTTTGCACTGTCTTCTGCGACCTTAGGGCTGAGTCTCTGTCTTCCGTCGCTTCCTTCGGCCTATTCTATCGAGTTGTGGACAATCTGCTGGAATGCGGACCCCCACATCTGAAACAATCTACCTTTTGAAACAATCTACCTTTTTCTTCCGCAGCGCATAGACATCGCGGGTTCCTTCTATTTCCTTATGTGCATCTAATCTACGAATCATCCTGAGGCGGATGTTTCGCAATGACGAGCTCTGTGGCCGTATTCATCAACGAACCCTGAGGGTTAAACTAGCCCTGGAGGGTAAGTTTGAACCTCAGGGTTCATTGGCCGTATTCATCAACATAGGGTAGGCTTTACACGGGACGCGATCCATCCGTATCCATCAACGAACCTGTGGCCTATTCATCAACAAACCCTGAGGGTTAAACTAACCCTGGAGGGTTAAGGTGTCAGTTACGCGTGCGCTGTGCAAACTCACATCACAGAATGCCTAAATACATGCTAAAAACTTTATACTGCCATTCTTTCACTGTTACAGTAGTATAATCAACGAATAAGCTTCTAACACTAGTTTTTATAATACATCTCTAGCATATTTGTGCAGTATCCAATCTTACAGCGTTAGTTATTTTCATGTGTGCAATTGTGTCGTGTAAGTTCTACTTTTGTGCAGTTCGTTTTATATCGGGCTGTGCTACTCCTTTGAGGGTCAATGCGTGTTATCATGAAGGAATTCTTCTGTTTTAGCACTTGTCAGAGTGAAACGCGCAACCATTTTTCCTCGTCGCTTTCATTTGTCACCAAAATTAGAATTCTTTTTTTCGCGAAGTCAGTGTTTCATGTACTTCGAATTTGAACATAAAACGAAGTCGAAACTAAATACTATAACAACAACTAATACTAAGTACTACAACATTCGTTAATCGTTTTCCATAAAACCATTAGATGCGAGTAAATGTTTGTATGAAGTGTTAGGGTGTTAGAGTACAATTGACCTTGCTCTGAGCTAGATTAGATTAACCCTGATGAATCACGTAAGTTTTACCCTCCAAGGTTAGTTTAACCCTCAGCGTTCGTTGATGAATACGGGTTAATCACTCTCAGGTTAAGGTTTACCCTCAAGGGTAGATTCAACCCTCGTCAAGCCTACCCTGTGTTTTATGAATAAGGTTAATCGCTTTCCAGGGTTAAACTACCCCTCCAGGGTTAATTTGATCCGATGAATACGGCCATTGAAGACCAGCTACGAATTGTAGCGTCTTCATTCCAGTGTAGTCGAGCTCCTTGAGTCAAACGTCTTCATCCATCCGCTTGACTGTGTTGGCGTATTCTAACGGTACATACGTCGGCGTGAGCGGTGGGCAGGTGATGCGGAGGCACTCGAACCTTGTTCTTATCAGCGTCTTCTTGAGGGCGAACAGCTTCTGGAGATTTTCGATGGTTGTGCTGAAACTCAAGTCGTGTTGTTTTGCAGGCAAGACCTCATCTGCATACTTCCGGTATGCTTCTTCATCCAGCTTTATGAGGACCAGGTCACGGTTATGATCCATACTGCTGCACCAGTACGCAAAGGTATTACCTGTGTCTTCGTCGGAGACGAACCTTTGCACATCATTGCTCAGCTGATCCATAAACGGCTACACTCTAGCTGCTGACCAGAGTATCAACCAGCACCTTCATTTGCTCCTGTTTGGCTTCCATCTGGATTCGAACTTCTTCCTGCTGAAGCCGCGTCTGCTCCATCATGACGTTGAGGACCTTCTCCAGATCCGCATGCCGCTCTTCTGCGACCTTCGGCATGGCTCCGCGGCCGAAGGTCGCAGAGCCATGCCGGCAACGAGGTTTATTCCCTCTTGTCGACTGATTCACCTGTCCTCAATTAGAACTTATCAGGAGAACTTGTCCTTGAAGTCGACTGATGGCTTCTTCTTCTCCTTGGTCGGCGATGGAGCTTCTTCTCGTCCTCGGTTAGTGGTGGAGTCTTCTTGTCCTTGATGCTGATCGCCGGATGATGTGGAACGCGTTAAGCCGTTGATGATTAATTAGAAAAGCACAAGAGTTTCCTCTCTACATATCGGCGCACATGCCGAGGATTCACTAGGAATAATTCTATAACAACACGCAAACATACAAAGGTGCGGCGGGTATGCCGCGACCACATCCAGCTAGCCTATAGTGAGCGAGCAAGTTCCAATATAAGAGACGGCTCTAAACACACTCCAAAAATTTTGAAAGTGCAACTATGAATGCTAAAAAAATATTTTATTTTGCATTTTGTTTAATCTATCTAACAGTGACCGATCTTCCAAAAGTTAGAAACGAAAATTTCGCAAATTAGCTAAAGTTAAGTAGGTAAAAACCATGTATCAAAGATTTAACGATGTAGAATATTTTTAGAGACTGCGCGACCTATTATCGGTGGAAGAATGTAGGATGCTCAAAAGTGGTTCATATAAATGTTGTATTGATTTACAATTTAAATACGGTAGTCGCGACCCGACAATGGTGAGGCCGGAAATTTTCCGAGGTAAAATTTATGCTTCTTGACATTTTTGAGTATCCGGAGGTATTCACTACATAGGCAACGTCATTCTGTTTTTGAAAGCCTCAGGAGACAGTCAAGATGCTTTGATACCTTTCCTTACTCGACGAGGAAGATTTTCTTTCCGTGTCAGCCAGCCATATGGCGTCAATGCCTTCGCACTGAAACTCTTCCTCAACAGCATGGTCTCCTCGTTCCCCAGACTCATCTTCGAAGATCTGATCCTTTTTATGACCGTGTGTTTTTTCGCATTTTCTCTCATGAAATGAAGTGGAATTGCTGGGGTCGATGTTTTCCAGAGATGATTGGGCTAAAAAAACATTGTAAATAACATGTAAAGCACCCATGCTAATTATTCGAGGAAAGCGAAAAGTTTTTCCTTCATGACAATCACCTGGATTTTTTTTTATCGAATCTAAGATTTGCTCTATTAGGCGAAAACGCGGAAATCACGCGAAACACGCAAACTACGCAGCCCCATAACTTTCTCCAAACTGCTCAAACAAATTCAAGAAAGTGTGACCAGCTTGTTAGTACAAATCTTCTAATGCACATTATCTTACTCATTTTTCAGCCCTTGTTTTTCGGCTGCTTCATTTTTTTGTGAAGACTTATTTTCGCGGTAGTGTGGCGCGGCGCACAACACACACGGAAGACTATGATAAGCATGGTTTGGTAGAGCATTCATCGCGTAACAATCTACGGTGTTAGAGCGTATGGACTGACTGTTTTCTCAGGTTCAGTCACTGTTCAGACGTTATATCAACAAGAAAATGGTCAGCCCCAAGCAAGCTGACGATTCGATGCAGCATTCAACGCTGATTTTGAATATTTATTTCATATTTGCTTAGCGCCTTTGTAGACGAAGTAACAATTTGATTGCGAAAAAGTCGTACATAAAAATCGCGAAATTGAGCACATTGTTGCATTCTCAGCTAACCTTCAGGCTTAGAAACATACAGTAACCTAGCTGCATGTTTTGTCCCAGCATTAAGCCGAACATAGCTCTATGTCAAATTTTCGTTTTGCATATGCAATTCTTTACCAAAATAACGGCATTCAAAGGCTCAGAACTTCGCCCACATAGGCGCTAAGCAAATATGAAATACAGATTCAAGGTCAGCGTTTTATGCTGCATCTAAAGGTGTGCAGCTTGTTTGGATTGGCCACTTCGACTCCTGAGCATTCTCTTGTAAGTCGGTCCGAAAGTTCTTTTTGTTTTCCCAGTCTCTGTCATAAAAACTTGTGGAATAAAGCAGGCAAAGTTTCAATATCCATTACAGCTTTTCTTCCTCTTTTAGCAGTAATGTTTTCGTGCTGGTTCCCCGGTGGTTACTGAAATAGTTGCCGAAATTTCGAACTATGGTTTTCACAATGCCCAGCTTGGGCAACTCTTCATAATCTTTATTTTGAACTGTTGAAAAAGCTTCGACAGCGATTAGATAGCGCACAATGCGCAATGCAATGCAATTGCAAAAATTCTTCATTTTGGGAAGTCGCAAAGAACATAACCCTCCAAACACTAACAGCTTTTCGGAATTTAAAACTTCCAAAAACCAATCATGATTTTACACTAGCTTTACAAAGCACTAGAGCGTTGCTTTGAAATATTAAATTCGCATTCTACGCGTACAGCGTGGAACGAGTTCAACGCCACGAAGTGGGAAGAAAATACCCTCAGCAGAAAGAGGAGAGAAAGCTGCATCGAATGGCAACTTAATTGTGCGCCGTTTGATTTTCTATGAGTCTTATGACCAAAAGTGGAAGTTGGTAACATCAGAAATACCATATTGAAAATTTTGAGAAGCCAGTTACAAGTGTCGGGAAGTTGTATCATTTCACTTTGTTTACGCTATCTATCCGCTATCACTTTTACAAAACTTCAAAATGAAGATTTAAAGTTGCAAGTTGGGCATTCGCAGTTCCACAGAAACATGACTGCTAAAAAGAGGAAGGATAGCTGCGGATAGTTTTTAAAAAGATTGCTGTCTTTATTTCACAGTTTTTATTATAGGTTGGAAAAACGAAAAGAACTTTCGAAACGAGCTAATAGTTTGGGTTGGCACACAAGTTTCGCACCTTTTCTCGAACTTTTGTCTTTTTGAACTTAGCGTTTTCATTTTTTAGCATTTCACATAATGTGATGTGAACTACAAGCCTGCTCAACCTATAGATTTTTAGTAACGTGATAGAAGAAAGCATTTTTCGAAAACTGCTGGAAATCGAGGTTCTACATTTTGAGCAGAAATGAAACCGTACACAGCCTGAATCGATCATATCAAGACGGAATTGTAGGCAGAGTGTTGCTAGAGGTTTACTTATCGAAATCATTATAAAAGAAATGAAAACCGGAAGAGAAATTGGGATGTGGCGCTCTCGAGAAGTTGTAAGTCGAACGTGCCAAATTTAGAGGGGCATTAGTCCATAACTAACAATAAGCCCAAAACCTCAAAATTTTCCGAAATTTTGCATAGAGGATATAATTTGATGAATAAAAGAAACAATCTATAATAAAACAAACAGACGGGCGGACATTACTTACTTACTTGGGGTCTTCACGTAATCGTAGGATCCAGCATGGAAGTGCTGTGAGATACTCGCGCATTAATACTACAAGACTCCCTGGTTCATGCCATTTGCTCAGCCCCAACACAGAAGTTTCTAATCGCTCCCTATCCTTCCCTGCATCATCCACTTCCACTCAGTTTATTTCTCCAAAGCATCTGCATGTTATGCATAGTTTTTCTCGAGGTCGTTTCGCTTTGTGCGTAAATCGGAATAAACCGCTCGTTACCCATTATGTAACCGGTGTTTCCTTTCGCAGCACATTCAGAAAAATCAAAGGCATTCTGATATCTGTACTGCAATATCTAGGAGGTGTTGCTTGTGTCGGGCAGCCGTCACGCCTTTAAAGGCACCGTCCACCCTAAGTTGAGGATGTTGAGCTTTTGGCAGCATATAATAGTAGGGCCCCCTAGTAATCTAATGCCCAAATCGCGGCGCAAAATGCCGCTTCGGCAGCGAGAAAATCGCTTCGTAGCGAAAATGCACGAGGACCCCCATCCATGCCCGTCCTCTCCCATCCATGCCGCCCACTTGTGCGCGCCCATCCAATCACCGTTTTGAAAATCCGGCCAGTGGGTTCTCCGGAACGGGGATTTTTGGGGTTTTCGCGCCTTCTCGACTTCATATTCGGAATCAGGGACATGAGAAGGCCGTGAAACGACAAAAACATCGAAGTCGAGAATCTGAGTGGACGGTGCCTTTAAATGCTCTAAGGATGGTCCGTAAAGCTTTCGACGTGGCTGCAGTGACGCTCCAAATCTCAGCTGCGTGACAGAGCGCTGGGAACGGTTGAACCGACGATATGAATTCGCTGCGCATCCGAAAGTTGGTCAACGGTAGCTGCCTTCAGAAAAACAAAGCGGCTTAGGTTGCTCTTCTTGTGCTCTCTTCCCTAATCAAACTGCTTATTCAGCGAACTAGGTAAAGGTTCTAGGTAAAGGTTAGAGAAGGTATGTGATGAGGATACCTTCATATTTAAAAAAAGCGTTCTTTACGTAGTGAGTGTTTCTCCGACGTTTTCACAGTCCAATCTCCATTTTTTGCTCTTGCAGCATCATCGCCCTTCAGTGATAATGCTCAAAACGAGAACGATATCGTCCGCGAAATGATACAGGCACTCTTCCATCAACTCGTATGCATCTCTCATTCATCATCCACTGCAAGCTGCGGTGAACATCTTCGACTAAAATGCTCGCTTTGTCGTCGCTTTATTGTTTGCTTTCGACAAGGTTAGCATCAGAAGCACTCGTCCAAATTCTCACAAAACAGCCCTCAAAACGGTGGTTTTTTGAGGAATCACATTTTGCTAGTGCCATATCTGGCACTAGCAGTATCAGACTTCCTGTGATTGCACGACCACACACAACTTGACGACCAATTCTGGATTGGGATAGCCCTGAAAGATGTAATTTCCACAGGGTTAGATGTTTGGCCCCAAATTCTCGATACAATAGAAAGAGGCTTTGAGTTCAATACTCGTACTAAAAAGGGAGCGATTTTGAATAATGAAGGCACGTTAAAGGCAATGGTTCGGCAAATCTCAACCTAGTCAAATTTTCGCTTACTTGGGGTTGTCCAATACGCTGATCCCGAAAATCCACTTCTGCGAGCTTGACAACGGCGAAAACGAGCGTTTTTCAACGCCCTTCCCTTCGGAAATGGACGAGTGGAGCAAGGCTGATGATGCTGGATCGTTGCGAAACCCAATGGTTATAGCATTGCGGCGGGCAGTCTCCAACAGTGAGGAGGGAATTGCCAACTCGTCCGAAAGCGTGTAAGATTGGCCTGCGCGTGTAAGTTTGAGAGCCATTTTTTCGGCAGGGAAGGCATGCTGTGCAAGCAGCCAGGACTGCACTGTTTTCATACATGGGCGATAAGGAACCTATCGCGTTAAAATCCTGGGTTATTGAGTTTTGCCGATCCACTGCCTTTAAGGGGGTCCAGCGCAAGGCTACAAAAGCTCAGGCAGTCTGACCTTGTAAGGGGTTGCGCCTGACCCCATTAACTTCATTTCCAAAGAAGCTTTTCTACCCAAGTCTATGTGATTCCTAGCATAGTTCTCGAAGACTTCACGGTAGGTGTTGAGCTTGACTTGACTTGTTTTGGCTCTGTGGTGATCCGTGGAGTCGAAGCACTAAACGTGAAAAACGCGCCGGTTGGAATTTTGGGAGCACTCCTTATTCTACTATTTGAAAGCGATATGAAGCCTAATTTCTAGCGCAAACTTGTAAAGAGCATTACCATGTTATGGTTGTAAATACCATGTTATGGTTGTAAACAAGCTGACTTTTTTCACTTTTGGAACCAAGTTAATCATGTTTGAAAATCAGGCTTTCTAAACGTTAAAAGACTAATTTGACATGCTGATTATGAAAATGTTACCCATTTCACACAGCAAGCTTCCTTGGTGACCTTATGATATGTTGTGTTTTGGCTGAGTTTGTGGAATCAGTTAGTATGCTGTTTACTACCGTCATTCCTTCGGTATTGGTAAGGCTGCGATATTCATCGGACTAGCGCTTTTCTTCTTCGCCATCGTAGTACCTCCTTATTTGAACATATTCGATTCTTACAACCCCCCCCTCCCCACTTCTTACCCCCAATACGACCCTCAGGTCGAGCAGCCTGACCCCAAGCTCGATCCTGCTTTTGAGCGGTCTTCTCGGTTCCGTTTTCAAGTCACGCGTTTGCACTTGGCCGGTGGCAAAGGGCGGCTAACGGAATCGAGAATATCGCTCCAGAATC